TATCCTTTAAATTTTGTTTCCAGTGAACAGTGAGGAATTATTTAGCCCTCTAAGTTTCTGTGTAATACACTAAAAAGTGCACTTCGTGGAGGGATTGTATGAATACATTATGCTAAACTAGGCACACCTAGTTTATGCCCTTTTGTACACACTTTGCCCCTTGGGTCATGTGATTATTGTAATAAAATATAATATTAGAATGTGCTATTGCTGGTCTGCTTTTTAACTGTACAATCCACCAAAGTAGAAAAAGGAGAAATAGTCTGATTTCTTCTGAAGCATAAAAAAAAATTAATTTTTCAAGTTCCCCTGCACCCAGCTTCCTCTATTTAACATTTCTCCACAAATATCCAGAGGGGGGCAGTAGATGAAAAAAATAAATTTACCACAATACATGAAGGGGTTGAAATCTTGCTGACCTAGCACCGCCCCACTAATGCCATTATGATAAATACAAATGTGAGCTCATGGACACACATTGCTCCTATAACATAATTATGAAGGGATGCTACTTGTGCAATTTCCTTACATTGTAACGTCTCAAATTGGTGAATAAAAGGTGCTGGTGCTACATTTATTATTCATAATTGGTACAATGCTTGTTTCTGTCTTACATGTGTATTTTACTCTTGTACAATCTGAATTTTTCGATCACTTAGTCCTTTAATACACCTATTTGCTGTTATAGCCATAACCTTGCTGGTTGCCTGGCTGTGTATGGCTTCAATACTCTCAAGTCCAAATAGGCATGCAACAAATCGAAGTTAGTGAATCAAAATATTAAATCCAAAATATATCAGCATTCTAACCAAGCAACTAGCATTTTTAAAACAGACACGCTAGCATTGCTAGTATTTCTCACAGAACAGGTTTCCTTTAATGGCTTAAAGATCTGCTATAATAATAGATATGCTATAATATTACCTCTACTCATTTTTGCTGTGGTTATCAGTATATAGAGTTCAATCATTTTAGTTTTAGTCAGCCACGGATATAAGATGGTTTTTGACTTATCCATTTGAGCAGGTCAGAAATTGATTGCTTGCCTATGGATACACCACATCCTCTTAGGACACCACTTAGCTGGTTGGGGAACATTTGAAAATCTACAAATTAATGACAACTTCTATTATTGTTTCAACATAAGTTGAAACTTCTGACTTTTATCTTCTATTTGTGGCAAATCTTGGGTTTCATGAACCTGAAAATATAGCTAGGAATACATAGTTATGCTTTGAAAATATTGTACACTTTAAGTGACTATAAACTTTAAAAAATATATATATCAAGCTGCTAACAGGTATAAAGTGTATGCAAAATAGGGATTCACATACCTGGAGTACCCCAGGTTATGCCTGAATCCCAGACCATTGCATTTGGGCAGAGCTTGCGTACTTCTTGGTGGTATCGAAGCTTGCCCACCTCATCCTGCCTCATGCACATTCTCATTAGCCATTGACACAGCCCATTATAGTGATGGTCCGATCTAAATGTGTGGGAGGTGGGAAGGAGTGTGCAAGCTTTGACACTACCAGGAAATATCAGAGCTTTAGGTTGCCGAATCGGCCCAGCATTTAGTTGTAAGGCAGGGATTTTTTTTTTTTTTTTGAGTGAGAGACTTATTAAGAAAAACAATTTCCTATGACCCATTTCACCACATTGGCCCTTGTGAGGTCACATAATGAGGTCATAAAGCGTAGATAAGCGAAACCCCTATGGTTTGTAACATATAGCTCAGTGAATATTGATGACCAGTGCATCACATTTATAAAACTCTTGCATATTATTTCCGATGTATATCTGAATGCATTTTGCATCTTCTGAACATTTACAAGATTGCTTAGATTTGTGTAAATAGATATGCAGTCAGTCTGCTGAATTACCAAGTCTCATTACCTTATTTCCAAAACAAAGACAAAAATATCAATGCTGAATGCTTTAGTTTATTTTCTACCCTGCATAGGAAATAAGAGTTTGAACCTTATGGTTGCTTTAGTTAAAGCTCAACTCCAGCCAAAATATATTTGATATTGTTTTGGACACAATGGGAAAGGGTTAGAGCTTCTGTCAGGTTGTTACTGGCATATGTTTCCCCTTTGAGAATATTTCCCTTCACTTTTTGCCTGGACAAAAGTAATGGGAAATCTCTCTCCTATGGTGACATAAATACAAGAAAAAACAACTTTTATTACTTTAATTACTTTATCAGTTAGCATGGGGGAGGAGGAAGTTTTGAATTTAAGATCTTGTTGTAGCTGTTTTTCTGCCTGCTCTGGTGGCAACCACCCCTCCCCCATTGCTTGTATGACCGTTACAAGGACAGAAAGTAGGACCTAAAAACAAAACTGACAGAAATAGTAATTCTTAAAATGGAACTTTGCCCTAAAGTGAAGTTTCCCTGTATGCCCTCCTCCCCCTTCCTCCTCTGTTTTTGCAACTTTTTTTAGATGGGGGGAATGGGTACCTGGTTTTGAAGGGTACCCGCTCTTACGTCTGGATCAATTGCCGCTGGGATCCACTAGAAGTTTTCCCCCCATTTGCTTCACTCATATGCAGTGGGCAACCGGCTATAAAGCCACAAGGAATTAGAACTGGCTGCCCACAGTAAACATGCCGGGAACCTCTGAAGACCGGTAAAGAAGCAGTTCAGGTGGGGACGGCACTGGACTCCTGGACAGGTAAGCGTCCTTTCATTAAAAGTCAGTATTTGTAGCTGCTGACTTTTATTTTTTTTTCAAAATGGCTGAACAAACAGCTTTAACTACTTTCTTTACTGCTAAAAATGGCTGGAGTTAGATTTTAACATTATTCTATACACCGGTATATTTACTTTTTCCTAACTTAGTCTTAATGCTGTAATGGTTTACAAAAGTTCTTCTCTTGTGCTGAGATACTGAATGAGAGAATGATTTGGTACGGTTGCAGGTGCTGTGTAAACACGGCAAATTGCCATAAATCAGATATAATTACCCGAAAATCGCAACCACCTGGAATTAGAATGTGTGCATTGTGGTTAGAGCAGCAGTTCAAAGATGTCCTGCAAGTGTCTACCTTGTATGCGGTCTTCATTTTATGCACAGCTCTCTTGATGAATAGGTCAGCTGGGACACACTATACTCCAGTATCTGAAATGATCATACAGCTCTCGTTATTATGATTGCACGTTATGGGAGCCAGACGTTGATAATTTATGAGTTCAGAATCAGAAGAAAATAAACTTGGTCCAACACCTGTTTTCTGACTTAATATGTCATAGGTTATTGTGGAGATAAGACCGATTTCACAATTTGTTACTACTTTATTATAACATTAGAATAAAACTGTGCAGCTGGTAAAAGTGTCATCAACTTATAAAGTACATAGTTCAAATATGCATAGTAATGTACCGTAATTGCTTATACTGGGATAATAAGACTCACTTTGAAGCTGTTAACATCATCAGCTTCAGCAGCTTATCAAAGTAGGTATTGTGCAGTATGTGTTCTGTCGACACATTTCAGGAACTACAGTCACGAAGATGTCTCGGGGACTTGCTTAGCTCTGGAAAACGAATGATATATTACAGTAATTGGTTCCTACATTACAGTCTACAGCATTGTTTCAAAAATTATGCAGCTTTTGCCATTAAGAACATTGGTCACTGTGTTCAAGTATATCGTTAATGAAAGGAGCATTGCCTGCCAAGAATTTATCCAGGAATTATATGTAGCAAGTGCTTAAGATCCTCAGAATGTAGTCACTTACGTGGTGCTTTTAGTACACAAAAACAATTTGGCTTTTGCACTGTAAAGTTTTTTTTTATTTTATTTATAAGATTTAATAAAAAATAATTACATAAACAATTATTATACACACTATTACACAAGCATATTTCTTTTAAAATGTACGTTTGCTTCTTTCTATATTGTCACTTTTGTGCACGTATTATTAAATGTAGTTAAAACATAAGTGAAACACATAAATAAGATAAAATATATAATGACATAAGCAAGTCTTGCAGTGTACCAGTGAATTGTAGGACACACTGATCATGGGCACTTTGAACACACAATATAATTGCAGAAGCCACATGGAACAATGTTAGTCATCTATGTATCCAGATAAGAAACAAGCGATTATAGTGGCTGAACGATTCAGCGGGCTAAACGAAAAAAAAAAAAAAAAAAAACCTTACAGATCACTTCACTAACGCATCATGTGTCAGTGCGGCGATTTCCCCACTGACTATTGTGTTTTATTAAGGGGAATGCCTCCCCACCAGGACACACTAAAGCACTGATCGGATGCTGGTTATCCAGCATACTCCTTTGACAGAAGCCAGTTGTGAGACTAGCTTCTGTCCGACAAGGAGCTGTACACATGGGCCAAAAGTCGGACAGTTCCTGCTGAAACTACCATTTTCCGCCTGTGTACACTGGGCTTAAATCAGTGCCTAAAGCAAAAGTAGTTCTAATCCAATTATATTTCCCTTTTGGACTACTTGTATAACAATGTATCCAATACCATCCACGTCAAAATGTATCCACAGTAGCTGTCACTGCTATAAGCACAGATGATACTCTTTTTTCCAATAACTTCAAAGTATGTCTACTCACATGTGTTGTTTTTTTAATGCATATGCACAGTACACTGCTTCAGTCAGCTTTGTTGCTTACAGTGATCTGCTGCCAGGTGCTGGAGATCTCATTTCAGTACCTGGCATCAGTAACAGACCTTAGACCAGGGGTTAAGGAAGAAAGGTGGGGGATGATCTGTCTGGATCCATCTGAAAAACTAACAGTCTGATCTAGACTGAATGCCAGTTTGAAAGTGGCCTTAATCATCAGTCCATCTTGCTAACCCTCTTGGTTCAATACTTTAAATCATTGGTCAGCAACATTTATTCAGATAAGGACTTCTGAACTACACTATATTGCCAAAAGTATTGTCCCCGCCCTCAAAATCATTGGATTAAGGTGTTCCAATCACCTCCATGGCCACAGGTGTATAAAATCAAGCACCTAGGCAAGCAGACTGCTTCTACAAACATTTGTGAAAGAATCGGTCGCTCTCAGGAGCTCAGTGAATTCAAGCCTGGTACCGTGATAGGTTGCCACCTGTGCAATAAGTCCATCCTTGAAATTTCCTTGCTACTAAATATTCCACGGTCAACCGTTGGTGGTATTATACCAAAGTGAAAGCAACTGGGAACAACAGCAACTCAGCCACCAAGTGGTAGGCCACATAAAATGACAGAGCAAGGTCAGTGCATGCTGAATCGCACAGTGGATTGACGAATCACGCTTCTCTGTCTGGCAATCCGATGGACATGTCTGGGTTTGGCAGTTACCAGGAGAGCTGTACTTGCCTGATTGCATTGTGCCAAGTGTAAAGTTTGGTGGAGGGGGGATTATGATGTGGGGTTGTTTTTCAGGGGTTGGGCTTGGCCCCTTAGTTCCAGTGAAGGGAACTCTTAAGGCGTCAACATAGCAAGACATTTTGGACAATTTCATTCTCTGAACTTTGTGGGAACAGTTTGGGGATGGCCCCTTCCTGTTCCAACATGACTGCGCACCAGTGCACACAGCAAGGTCCATAAAGACAAGGATGAGCGAGTTTGGGGTGGAGGGACTTGACTGACCTCAACCCGATGGAACCGCTTTTGGATGAATTAGAGAGGAGACTGCGACACAATCCTAAATCTTGTTGACAGCCTTCCCAGAAGAGTTGAAGCTGTTATAGCTGCAAAGGGTGGGCCAACTCAATATTGAACTCTACGGACTAAGACTGGGATGCCATTAAAGTTCATATGTGTGTAAAGGTAGGCCGACCAATACTTTTGGCAATATAGTGTATATTAATTTAGGTCAGTGTGCAGTCAAATCAGAGAAAGTCTCGCTGTATGTTTGTTATATGTTCCCATTCACACCCTTGCAGATTACCATATGAAACAGTTGTTGTGGCCATTTGGTGACAATACCTATTGGTCTTTATTTAAGGACCCATTGACATAGAAATTGCACAGGAACGCAGTGCGGTTTCCTGTGTGATTCACATGCAGTTCTGTGCAGGGTGATTTTAGCCCATTCATTTCAAATGGGCTAAAATTGCACCGCACCAAAAGCAGTACTTTTGGAAAGCACTACTTTTGGAAATGCACTGCAACCATATCACATTGTACTTTTGTAGCATACAAACCAGTGCTGGCAAATGCACTGCGTTTTCAATCTGTGTTTTGGTTGTCTTAAACATTGCACCGACACCTTCTACAGATTGCAAGGGCAGTGCATTCTGCATGCAGTATGGGATACCCACATGGAAAGCTGGTTTCCTGCACAGCATTCTAGCCTAAATGGGCCTTAATAGCCTATGATATTGAAGAGTTAATGTGCAGTTATGCCTAGAAGTCAATTCAATTTCCACATTTAGCAGTTTAGTCAGACAAATAAAATATTATTTCAGGCTGGTTGCGGTGTGATAGTGTTTTGCAAATTACCATATTCAGAAAGGCCACGGGAGGGTCTCCAGCTCTCTGCAGTGGGGCAGAAAGGTGATATTTGACTTTTATTACTGTAAATGTGCATATCACAACCATGGATCATTTATGGCTTTTTTAAAACAAAAGTGAGTTTAAAGCAGAAGAAGACAAAGTGGTATGTGGAGGAGCAGTGAAAATAATTCTGGCCTTACAGGACTCCAGGGAGAGATGAGTAATAAAATAGTTATGTTATATATGGCTGTTAGTAGGGGAAATCACAGAGATGTCAATGAAAGGTGAGGCGATAATTACTGTGAGCTGGAATATTCCAGTTGCTAAGTCAGCCAATACTAGTGACACTCTGGATTCCTGGAATGGGGGTGTCTGAAACAATCATACGGAAGTATTCCTAAATTTAATCCTTGCAGATGGATAAATAGTATCAAATGTTTTCTAGCTGAAAAACTGGCCCTGAAGAGCACTGGTCATCATGGTTAAATACATAGACAGCGGTTACGCCGAACCACACTAAAGGAGGATGTTGTTATTGTAGCTCTTGGAATGGCTGACTTAAGTCCAATGAGAGAATGTTCATGTAAATCTTTACCTTTGTGGGAATGAATAAGTGGAAGGCAGGAACAGTGAAACAACCTAAAACAAACATGTAATATTACATTATACTGATTTTTCTGACAGCTCCTCGGCAGGATCTGTCACTTCTGGGAATGCATTTTACGTGGTAACATTCGGAGCCAATACCGTCTATGCTGCATGCAAACCATTCATGTTTTCTAAGGCCAATCAGCATAATGCTGTTAAATATGACATGAGTCATAAAACGTATATTAACCTGGAGTATAATCCAAATCCCCCTGAATGCAATCACCTTCTCCTTCCCACAAAGTGAAACAGTCTTCCAGGTTTAGATTGTTTATTAATCTCACTTGCTATATCACGTAATTGTTGATATCATTCTATGTCAATGTAATCAACAAACACTAACTCCTAGTTCACAAATATGTGGGCCGCACGAGAGCCCAGTCATTTGAATGGACTCCCATGCCCCGTGACACGCAGGGAAGAAGTCCCTACACTTCTTATGAAAATGCAGCTCGCACAGGAACCTCGGTTCCCAGTACAGTTGCGTTTTCCATTGCGGGCGGTGTGCCATTAGAACTAATGTCATCCGCTCGCAAGCCCGCATTCCTCTGTGTGGGTGGTGCTGCTGCACGGATTTTCGTGCGGATCCGCAGCGGCACCACCCGCACATATTTGAACCAAGGCTAAAGGTGACGATGCAAGAGGTGACGTTGGCGTGCTCCGTCATCTATAGGATTGCCCATGTGCAGGGTCGAAGGCAGACCTGGACCTATTTACACTTGTGTGCATGTTTTTTTTTCGCATATTGCACATGCTCACTTTTCTCATTGGGTCCTAAATGTACGTCCACCTAAAAATATATTTGCCATATTTTTATCAAGGCAATGCTGAAGGGGCACACTTTTTCTTTGGCTGTTTTATGAGGGTTGGGGTGTGATTGAAAATGAATGGCAACATGCATTCATCATGTGCTAACATGCATGAAATACCTGCACAGACAAATGCATGCTCACGAGTGTAAATGCTGCTTTAGTAAAGTGGCACTAAACTGTATCTGAGCACCACAAACTAAAAAATGCTATGTAATTCATTTTTAATATTCAAAGCAAACTCCCCCATCCATCCATGTCTCCATGTTGTATTTTGTTGAGAAATCACACCCTCCTAGCATTTCAACCCATGAGCATCTTGAGTAAGGGCAGGTGATTCATGTAGCATGGTCTTCCTGGAATCCATCCTCCCTTAGCTCAGACGTGCAGACAGAAGGTTGTACTTATGCCCATGGAGACTCACGGGATAGATGACAACAATTGTATGTAGGCCAGGAACCAGGAAGCAACTGAAGAAATGTAAAAAAAAAAAAAAAACAGGTAAATAGAATATACTTTCCTATATCTATTTACTAATGCTAGCAGCGTAAGATTAAAGAATGTTGTTATCCTAACATTTCACGTTCCTGATATGTGTCTGTTGTATCATGTACTTGTGTTAAAAAGTATCTCATTCTCTTTGCATTGCTTCCTTTGTGTGTGAAATCACTGGTGATCCTCCCAGCCCCCATACTTTCCTATTTCAAACTGACCACGCTAGGCATAGAAATCTCATCTATCCTGGTGTGGTCAGTTTTCTGACTGTGCTGGAACAACAGCCTGCTTGTCCCCATTGGCCAAGACTTCTGCTGACACCCAAATAAAGAGTAATGGTGATACTACCCCAAGAAAAACTCATATTATTAGGGTGAGATCCAGGTGCCTTATAGACTTATAGTACTTGCCATCTATGGATATAGTAGAAGAATGAGAGTCCAGCACCAGAGCATCTTAAGGTTAAAAGAATTACTTCATTTTTCCATCAAGACATAAAAAAGGAATCAATTCCTGGAAAAGATTGATGCTTTTTTTTCAGAGGTCTTAGTCATATAGTCATTTCAGCTCCAAAAGGGGCTGAAACATGTCAATCTTTTCCAGGAATCAATTCTTTTTTTATGTCTTGATGGAAAAATGAAGTGATTCTTTTAACCTCAAGATGCTCTGGTGCCAGGCTCTGGCTCGTCTACTTGTGCTGATACGCCCCACCTGTACAGCCATTCACTGGGAAGATCAGGACACTGCTGATTCGCTATGCCCACCTCTCCAACCCCCTTATGCAGCTAAGAACTGAGGCTACAACACACACAAATTAATGGGTTGTTTTATAAGGTAAAGTGTTCATATATGCTTTAAAAATAGAAGTTTGGGAATAAAAAAAAAAAAAACTTACCTAGGTGGATGATGCATCTGTTCTCCACCACCTCTAAGGTTGGCTGTATGGGGCCCCATGGTTTGTAACAGCAGCTCTGGGTGTATCTGAGTGGAAAGTAAATATTTTTATGCGCACTGGAGATGAGAAGTGCCTTAACCACTTTCCCTCCAGAGGCTTTACCCCCCTTTCTGACCAGGCCATTTTTTGCGATACGGCACTGTATTACTTTAACTGACAACTGCTCAGTCATGCAACACTGCACCCAAATGAAATTTATGTCCTTTTTCCCCACAAATAGAGCTTTCTTTTGGTAGTATGTTTGTTTTGTTTTTTTGCGCTATAAACAAAAAAAGACAGACAATTTTGATAAAAAAAAAATATTTTTATTTTTTTTGCTATTAAACATGTCCAATAAAAAAATTTAAAAATCGAATTTCGTCATAAATATAGGCCAAAATTTATTCTGCTACATGGTTTTGTTAAGAAAAACTCCCAATATGTGTAAATTAATTGGTTTACGTGAAAGTTAGTGTTTACAAATGGCGGTGTATATATACTGTAATATTTTTTTTTTTTACTAGTAATGGTGGCGATCAGCGACTAATAGTGGGGCTGCGGCAGGGAATTCTGACACTTGGAGGAACTGACTTGGTGCCACTAACATCCCCAGTGACACCAATACAGTGATCAGTGCTAATAAAAAGCACTGACACTGTACTAATGGAAGGGTTAACATCTGGTGCACTCAAAGGGTTAGCTGCTGTTTCACTGTGTGCTGTGTGTGTGCTTTACACTGTAAGCACACTGCTTTGTATGGCTCTGCTATGCAGAGCCATACAAAGCAGTGTGCAGGCGCTGAGAGGGGAGAGATCTGTATTGTTTATACACAGGTTTCTCCCCCTTTGAGATACTCGGCAATCTCCGGGTGCCGGCGAGAAATTACTGGCCAGGACCCGGTGATTGACAGCCGAGGCCATGCACGCCCCCTACCTAGAACGCCAAAATCACGTATATATACGTGATTTTGCGCACCACCCATGCCACCTTTTAGCAGTATTTCTGCTATAGGGCGA